TAACGAACGGAGACGTAACAATATTATACTGAACGAAAATCTGCTTGAGTAGTGACTTGTGGGAGATGAAAGATAGATCTGAAATGCCATTTTTTACATACATCTGATTTTGAGCCTCATTAACAATTTTTGTGGAATATGGAAAAAAAAAACTTCTGCAGTTAACTTGAGTTATATAGCAAAGCTTAGTTTGGTGGTATGTTGCTAGAAAAAAAGGTGTTTGTGAATAACTTTCACTACAAATACAGACTTGATTTTTAAAATTTAAAATTTTACTTTATTCATGTTATACGTTATTTGAATAATGATTCTGCAGTACGACTGAAAATAAATGTTCGTGAACAAGATGAGATAGGCTTAGTTAAATCATTTTCTATTCGACCTTATCAAATATGCTGGGGACAAAGCTGCCATGTTAGGCATAAACGAGCCAAGGAATTAGTGAAAAGAAGTGAAAAATAATATATGAATATAAAACGTATTTAAAAGTAATTAAATAATTATTAAAATATTAAATGTATTATTGAACTTGGTATTATTTTACCAATTAATCAAAAAAGAACCCGCCCAACTACAGAACACGTTATAACGGTAGTATTTTTAATTAAAACTGAACTAATACTAAACTTATTAAACGTTTTACTATAAAGTTTGGTTTAAATCTTCTTTTAATTGGTACATATTTAATTATTTACATAAATTTTAATATTTAGCGCACATTTTCATAGTTCTGTAAGGGTAAATATAAAAACAATGAAGTGTTTCGCGTTCTTGTAGATGACGTAGACACGTCAAAATACGTATTGTGTTTACAGTGGCGGCACCTGACGGCGTCAATATATATTTTTAATTGTGTACTAAAACGTTGTATTTCAATTCTTCATTTGATGTTAAAGTATTACTTATCATTCATAATAAAACCCTCCATCGATTAGAAAATGCTTAAAGAAGGCACTCATAACGTTTTCATTCGTACAGCTTCATTTGAACCACAGTAGAATGATGCGTTACTGTCTATAAACCTTTCATAATTGTAAATAGTCACGTTCCCAAAGAAATATATATAAAAAATGATTTTTTTTCATTGGAGAGAGAGAGGGGGGGGGGTTAAAGTAAGTTTAGTGTTATTTCATGTAGATGTTAGGAAAGCGTTCCTTCTTCATTATGTCGAGTAGTGTGTAAAAAAAACTATTTTCGTAACCTCACTCTTCTGTTGGACTAGTAGTTATCGTGCCCAGATTGTGAACCCGAGGATCCGCAGTCCACGATCCATTGCCGCAAAAACGTTTTCCGCACTTTGGGGCTATGAGTACAACATAGGAACGACAGTCAAATTCTTCTATTCGATCAAATAAAAGTAGCCCAAGAGTTCCACGGATAGGCTTTTCTGTAGCTCTGCGCGAGGTTCTGTGACAAAATAATTCATCCACACGTGACACTTAGCAGCAACTGTAATAATTTTTACACAAGCTACCACGTCCACCAATTAAGACGAGCCGCTATTCAATAATGTTTCACCCGTATGGGTTACTGAAGCACACGTAGTACGTGATTCGTTGGTTAGACTCAAACCTGCTGTCCTTGAGCCTTTTGATACTCACACTTGAAATACGTCAGTTTTTAAGGGTGTGAAGAATCAGCGCCATCTGTTTTAATAAGTTGGAACTTGAACTTCCGTTTATTCGTTAACAAGCAGGTTACAGACGTAGAGCTATCCCCAAGTTAGATATTGGTAAGTACTGTTTGTATTATCAATATATTTGATGTATACTGTTAGTGTACGTATCAAATACTGGGCGGTCATAAGATACTGAGATAATCTTATTATGATTATGATAAAAAATTGATTTACGTTTCTGTTTGTGGACGTTAAACAAGTTAACTAAAACTACAACCAATCGTCAATGTTATAAAAATATATATACGATAAATAATTACATCTGCTTTTACGAGTTGTCGTGAATTGTTTTGTTTTTTCTTTTCTTTTTCTTAACATCTTTTAAAAATATTGTGAGTTAGGTTAAAGCTTTAAGTTCTATTTTTATTTATAATTTTTTAATTACTAGTGATCTGTACAAGTGACTTATAGTTTACATGCTATGCCACGAAACGTAACGCTTGCCCACAAGGTGTGATATACATATATATATAATCAGACACCACACCAAAGAAAACCAATAATCCTAGTGTTTCGTCTTCATTGTTTAAAGTAGACAAGGTTTGTTCGATTTTTGTTTTTAAACGCAAAGCTGCACAATGAGCTATTTGTGGTGTACAAATCGCGGATATCGAAACCCAGTTTTCACCTTGAAAAGCCCTCAAACTTACCGCTGCGCCACTGGGAAGCGATTAGTTTGTCAGTTGCAGATTTTTAGTTTATATATCATAAAATCTTTCTGTTCAAGAAAGCCAGATATTTCAACAAATATTTACATTGCCATTGAGCCACAAGGAGGCGGAAGAAGAAGAGAGAGAGAGCGCGAATTATCAGATTTATATCGTTGTGATTTGTTTACATAAGTTAGCTTTTGAATTATGAAGGATATTAAAAAATCATTTGAAAGAATTATAGAAATAAGGTATAAGGTTCAAAGAATTGTATACAATATAAAAAAAATTGGGAAATTACAAATTTGGCAATGAAACCGACTAAATGATTAAAAAGTGACAAAAAAAGTGTCGTTAACTAATAATAATATTTCAGTATTCACGCGTGAATATTGAAAAATGCATATATTTTTCTTACAAGAAATAACATTATTAGAAGCACTATATTCTAACAGGTCAGGTTTGTATGGAAATACATAGGCGGCGTAACATATTTGAATTCGTGGGGGGGGGGGTACCATCAATTTGTGGCACCTTATTTGATGATTTAACCATGATCATTGAATTCAAAACTGAAATAGCGACTTTTCATTACAGTTACAAACGCCTCTATTCCACATTCAAAGGGACACTTCGCTACTGGGTTAAAACATGTTTCTCCAGTGCCACCAGCTCTCCATTTTCTGCTGCCTGTGGTCTTAGTTTGCATTAAAATAATATGCTATTTTAGGGAGTACAAATAATGTATAGCTGAAATGTTATTACATGAAATCTGTTAATAAATTAGGCTAATAAATAACGATGT